TTTCCCTACCATTAAGTTGGTCATTTTCTTGGTTGCTTTTTGTTCTCTTAACTCTGCCTGTCTGTCTTTAGTTTTCCTGACATAGCACTCCCTTCAGAACTTCTTAAAGAGCTGGTTTGGTGTTGGTAACTTCTTTCAGGTTTTGTTTATCTGAGAATGTTTTTATCTTTTCTTCCCACATGAAGTATAATCTTGCCACGTATAGTATACATGGTTGAAATTATTCTTCATTTAACAGATTGAATATATTTTCCCATTTACTTGCTCGCTTCGTTTCCCTTGAGAGGTCTGATGTTGGCTCAATGGATAACCTTTGTAAATAGCCTGATGTTTCTCTCTTGCCAACTTTCGTATCTTGTCTTTGTCTGTGATTTTGGCCAATCTAACTATGATGTGCCTTGGAGAAGATCTTCTTGGGTTGATTCTGTTTAGAGGATTTTTATATTTCTGGGGTCTGAATATTTAACTGCCTCTCTAGGTTTGAAAGGTTTTCTTCCAGGATTTCATGGACTAAGGGACTATCGATTCCCTTAATAGTTTCTTCACCTTCTGGGACACCAATTATCTGGATGTTTGGGCGCTTCTAGTACTTCTTGTATATTATGCTCACTTTGCGGGTTATTTTCTCAGTCTTTTTGGTGACTTTTTCTAGGTCAGAGGTTTTGTCTTCTACGTCCAAGATTAGATCTTCTGCATGGTCCAATCTGCTTTTAAAACTTTCGAGGTAGGATTTGATTTCCTGTATTATAGCCTTTATCTCTAACAGCTCTGTTTGAATCTCTTTTTATGGTATATATTTCTTCTTTCAAATCATGGAAGATCTTCCTCACCTCCTGGAACTCATCTCTTTTTTCTTGCACTTTCTGGAGTTCAATGTGTCTCATCTCCTGCATCTCATTTAGTTTTGTCACTATGAATATCCTGAATTCTTTTTCAGACATTTCCACAAGTTTCATTGTACTGTCTGTGGATGATGAAGGGTTCCTCAATCTCTCTGCAGTTCCATTTCCCTGATGCTCACCAAGCAACATGTGTTTTTTACTTTGGAACTGGATATTACAAAGGCCTCACAGTTTCTAAGGAATAGGCACACCTAGGCTGTGCTGCGTGGTTTCAACTGAGAGTTCAGAGGCATATGGGAGATGAGTCATGCTTTCTCTGCAACTCTGTACTTCTCCCTGCTGCTCACTCTGCAGTCTCTTTTCTTTGAATTTTCCTCTTTTGGTGGTGTATTCACTTTTGGCTAATTGGCTGAAGATTTCTGTAACTAAGATCATGTGCTTCCCTTTACTGTAAGGTATTTCTGTAACAATTTATCTCCTCTACTGTGTTTTGCAACATGGTATCCACAGAAAGAGATTTTGAGTTCAGATTTATAAAGAGTTTCTCCATTTGGGTAGCAGGTTCAGTAAGGGTTGAGGATTTCTATGACCCTAAAAGTATTCAGATGCTTGTCTACTGTGCATGTAGGCCTGTCTAGAAACTTATTGTGTTGGAGGCTGAACAGCAGAATGAGAATGTAAGGTTAAAAAAAAATTTTTTTTTTAAAGGAAAAGTAAAAGAAAACAGGAAGAAAAAAAGACAAAAACAACCAAAACCGTGCGGCAGTTGCCTTGGTCTCTAAACACGGCAGAACACACAGATATAAATGGCTTCTGAAATTGGCAAGAGTAAGAGGTCAGAAGTGGGAAGAAGTGTTTTTAAAATTAGGGGAAAAAAATTAAAGAGAGAGAGAGGAGAGAAGTTGCCTTACCTGTTTGAGTTTTAGGGTCTGGAAGATAAGATTTAGAGCATTTGGTTGCCTTGGTCCCTTCCTGGGTATAGAAATCTACAATAGATTGGCAAGGTTCTTTTGTTTGTCAGACTCATTACATCTGTTCTAACCTTCATTTATCAAAGGAACTATACTTTTGGTTCTTGCAGAAAAAAATTATTAGACTTAATATTTCATTACATCTGAAACTCTACACTTTCTAAAGTTGGGAGTGGGAATATATAACTATGAAATTCCACTCAGAAAAAAATAAAACCTCGCTTGTTGCCCACTCTTCTCTCAGCATATACAAATCAGAACAAATACATGAATATCAACATTTGGTAGTTTAAAAGAAGGTTAAGAGTGGTGAAGTGCAGTCAAGGAATTGAGCTGAACTGGCATTTTCCCAAAGCAAAATTCCAGATGTGCCCCATGATTTAATGATTCTTTTTCTCTGCTTCTTAACCTCTTAAGTCCATTTATTTATTTATTCTCTTTCAACAAATATTTTTCAAAGCTCTGCTTAGTGCTAGATACTGAATATCCTGATAAATAAAACATACACTTGACCTGCTGGAAAAGATAATAGATACACAGGGACCAGCAGTTGGCGTAATGGCTATGTTGCTGGACTCCCATGTAGTCGACCGTGGTTTGCGTCCCAGACCCAGTGGCTTAGAACTCATGCTGGCACGTGTGTGTGCCTGCCCAAGACCGTGAGAGGAGAATGAAGGAGAAGGATTGCGGCATGGCCATCCCCTCTGGGTGGTGATTTCTCACTTTCTGTCTCTGTCTGTCTGGCGGGTGCACACGCCCTATAGCAAAAACCTCTCAAAAAAAAAAAAAGATAATAATAGATACACAAATACCAATAACAGATGAAGACATCCATAAGAGATGCACAGACAAAAATCCTTCCCAGGTCAGAGGAGCGAAAGATTATTTGCAAGTAATAAGGAAGTTAAGGGAAGAGAGAATCTGAACAAATTGCCTTTAGGAGGCAGCATTTGAACTCTACCTTTAAGAAAAGAAGGCAGGGTTAGCAGGTGGTTAAGGCACTGGACTCCTACATGGCGGACCACGGTTAGAGTCCAGGTACCTGGTGGAGTGAAACTCACTCTGGGCGCACCTACTTGTGTTCCCAGAATCCCTGGAGGGAGAATTTCAGCCCGGCCATCTCCTCTGGGGATGGTTTCTGACTTTCCCTCTCACTGTCTCTCTGTCTCCCTCAGGTGAACTCAGGAGACCTATGGCAAAATCCTTAATTTTTTTTTTTTTTTTTGAAAAGAAGGAATTTGGTTATGCCGAGACAGAGACAAGTGACAGGTGATGAGTTTTTCTTGGGAGCATTGTCCAGGAAGGGACTGGCAAGTTCCATGGCAAGACTGAATTACGTGTGCAAAAGGGCAGCGAGAAAATAAGTTTAAATGTCAGATTGCAAGCCGCCTTGAGTGCCAGGCTAAGGAGCTGGTTTAAGACTAGTGCTCAGCACATCTGAGCTTTTCTTGTAGAAAGGTGAGGGAGAAAGGCATGTATCAATTATTCATGGGGGGCCAGCTCTGTGCCCCGCCCTAAGCCAATTGCTTTTTACACCTTAAATCCTCTTGTCCCCCTATGAGATAGGTATCAGGACCCCCTATCTTTCATTGCTCCGTGCTTACAGGTATGCATGCTGCCTTCTCAGGACTGTGATATGGAAGTGACTTGGGCTGTCAGATTGACCACTACAGATTGACCCCTACGATGGCAGATGCAAAAATACCTCAGAGGGTGTAAGTGGTAGAAGGTGCCAGAGCTAGTAAGCCCCTGCCCCACAGCTAGAGCCGAGGGAGGGCCCCCTGGGCTGCGCACTAGCATTGTACCAAGCTTTCCGCCGGTTTCTCCAGGAGGCGGGGGTCACGCCGAGTAGGGTCATACTGGATTGGCCCCACCAGCCGGGTCAGCTGGAGTGGGCGGGGCCCTGCCAGCTGAGAGGGCGGGCCTTGGGCAGGACCGAGACCCGCAGGCAGAGAGCCTTTCTGTCGGTTTTCTGGGCACCCAAGCTGCAGACCTGCAGACCGCGCCCAGGCTGGGCCGCGGTGAGCGCTCCTTTCCAGCATGTTGCGGCGGGGCAGCCAGGTGCTCCGGCGCTTCTCCACCAGCCAGGTGAGTCCCGCCACCCTCCCGGCTCTCACCCGGTCCGGGGTTGCAGACCCACGGGTGGGAG